TGTCTGTTTGAAGCCCCCAGCCTTCGCCTTTTGCAGGGTCTGGAACACGTCATTAGAGTCCTCGTCCTTTTCATTATTACGTCCTTTCTTCAACATTAAAGCTTTGTGAAGAGTGAGAGGGAAAAAAAAAGTGATTATTTAACAGTCCCCTCTTGTTCAAAACTCCCTACAGTTGTGGTTTCTGCGGCTTTAAAAGAGATGACAAATTAAATATTGCTGCATGCTGTCATTCACTTCGTAGCTCGGAGCCCAGTTTCGTCCTGAGCCCCCGGGACAAGTCCCGGGGCCGTCCTCTGCGTTCCTGCTAGGCCTCGCTTCAGCTCTGATGAGCACTGAGGACACTGATGCTGACATATTGCATGGAACTGGGGGTTCAGCCCCCATCCATTCTATCTGACGCGGCTGCATGATTAACAGGGACATGAAGCACATGGTATTAGAGGCTTGGAGAGGCTGAGCTGGAGGGATCAAGCCAGATTCGGTGCCAGGGGTCAGTGCACCATTAACCTGCAAAGCTAAAGACTCCTCAGTTGAGGAGGTCATGGCTTGACTTGGATGACATCACTGTCTTGGTGGACTTGGAGAGACCAAAAGGCTCCTCTGAAAAATCATCAGCACTGTTTCTTAAGGTTGCGCAGCCTTCTTATAGATGGGATGCTCTTTTTCATCATGCCTTTGTTGATTCTTTAAGCTATAGGACGGTTTCCTCCTTTGACCCTGTTAACCTGATTGCCACATATTTGCTACTAATACTAGCCAATGCTTGTCAGGTGTTAACAACATAGGTAATTTTTCATGTGGTGTTCATACCTCTGGGAAATTATTTAGAGGAAAACCCTCCTTAGTGTTAACACTCTTAAATTATACACACAGTGGTGGGGTGGTCGCTTTTCTCCTATACCCGGGTAAAAACGACCATTAATGACAATTACTCGCTCTGTAGTTCACCGCCCTGTCTCGTAAGTGTCTTAATGCCAGAATTGTTCTGTCACTGAGTAAATGGAAGTAATTTATATATTTACTCATGTGTTAACAGTGCAGAGGGTAATAACTGAATCACAAAAGCAGATTTAAACGTTTGGTGGTTTTCATGCCTTCATGCATATGTGCACAAATCTTTCACGCTGCGGACACGGGCGCATGAAAAGCCTCTAAGAGAATCCATGTGTCCCATTTCACGGAGCCGGGCACGTCGCGCCGCATCTGGGAAAGCCGCGGAAGGACAGCCAACGCGTCGGAGATACAGAAACTGTGTTTGACAGAACATTTAGTTTACAAAATACCGTGGACATCAAACTGCAGGGAGACGATGTAGAAAAAACCCAATGATTTTCAGAATGGCTGTAGAGAGCCTCCCCCAGAGGCCAAAAAGAGCTTAAGTCACTCTCACGCCCCGTTCCTTACAACTATGCAGTATTGAGGTTATTGTGCCTCAGACCACTAGAGGGAGACTTTTGGACTGTCAACATTTTTCACAACCTCTTTCAAAATGTACAGGAACACATTGCACTGTAATATGAATCTGTAATTAATGTCTATTAAGATGTATATGAAATTATATAGCACCGCTTTGGATCTTCAGGGATAGGGTTTTCAAATCCCATCCACACTCTGTATGTGTGCAGTTTGCATGTTCTCCCTGTGTTTATGTCGGCTTCCAAAGACATAGTCTCTAATTTTGTGAGTGTGTGTTTGCGTGCTCTTTCCTGGGTGTCTAGGCCCCGGTGCTGCCTGGAGCAGACCCACCATGTCTCAGATTTGATGGCAGACAGATGATGGCATGTTCGGTCAGAAGGTCCAGGGCTGGAGGTTTGAGTACTGCCCCGCTCTGTGTGTGGGGTTTGCATGTTCTCCCTGTTTTACATGTATATTGATGTAACAGCATGCACATTTGCAGCAGATGCATCATGGGGGCTGTCAAGGTGACCCTGCCCTGTTGAAGGTCACAGGCTGCTGACCATCTGCTCATGCAAACAAGCAAACTGACGCAGTGGAGTGTAGGCTAGTCAGCTAAGCCAGAGACATGGAGTCTTTGAACAAATTTGACACTTTAAAGCAGAGAGCAGGTCTGCTTCTCGTTCTTGTCCGGTTTGCTTACTAGCACCCCCCCCCCCCCCCCACCCGTAATGAAACTGTACAAGAGCATGTTCTTTCTTTGTAACATCTATAACTAAAAAGAAAGCTTTGAAGAATGTGAGAGTGCTGTTCCTGATTCTGCTCAGGTTCCTGGGCCTGTCTGTAACGGAGCCTGGGCCTCTCTGGTCACCTGACCCAACATGAGCGACGTGATGCTTTGCTGTGTCCTGTGTGAACTCTGACCTTTCACTGAGGTCCTGGAATCACATGAGGAGAAGTTTGGCTTTGATCCTGAATAAAAGACTCGTGTTTTGTTATGATGGACTGAAACAGTGAGATTCTATAAACATATCCTGTTCGGGGAGGGTGTCTCCAGCTCAAAAATGAATGTTTTCACACAGCTTAGGAAAGAGTCTCTGCAGAATATGGGGTCTTTATGGAAGACTGTTGTGATCTGGAAAGTCCTCAATAAGATTTTTAAAGTTTCAGGATGCTGAAGATTTTCACGATTTGGAAAATCCTCAGCGGATTCCAAGATAAACCCAGAACTCACAACTTACGACTTATTTGACACTTCTGTGGCCGCTGAGGCAGGAAAACGTCGGCAGCCAACACATGATTCCGCAAGAAGGGATGGTTTTATGATTGGCGGCAGGCGCCTCATGCTGAAATATACTGCCGTTTAAGCTCCATTACGAAAGAGGTGAAGGTCTAAAGGGTCGGTGCTTGTAATCAGCTGAGTTCACGATGTTCTCAGCGCCTGATCAGGTAATGCTGAGGCGGAAGAGAAATCTGATTTGCAAACTCTTTTCCACTTCTGATCCTTCTGATTACGTTTCTTTCTCTGCCATTGTGTATAACACAAGGTTTGGTCAGGGGAATCAGACAAAAGCTTGCCCAAGCTTGAAAGGCTTCCCTGGGTCTGAAAATCCTTAAGCACAAACCCCCCCCCACCCCGGCCAACACCAAACCCACCCCTTCCCAGGTATCCCTGATCCACAGGCCACACCAAGGGCCCATAACGTGATAATTAGCTTCTATTCTTATCCTTCACAGAAATGACATTTGATCACTTCCAAAATCATAACAATGGTGCGTTTTAAATAAGCACCTGCTTTGTATTTCCACTGAATCCGATCCTTTTTGACACTTGATCTGAAAATATTACTGCATAATCATTTTATAGCATAGCAGACCTTCATGGCGTGACTTACACAGGATACTTCTTAGCACTGGCGTTTTCTTGCTGGACCGATTACAGTTACAGGCCTGGGGGTTACGGCTGCAGGGCCCCAGGGACGCCAACCTAAAGCTCAGTTAAAAGGCCCTTTTGCTTAAGAGCTGCAACTGTGTTATTCGGTTACGTTCCTGTAGCCTAGCGGCTCAACGACCTTATTCAATTAAACATATTTTACTTCCTTTCTGATCCCCGAATGACACTTTCTGAATTCAGGCCTACGGGGTGGTAATTTAATATTCCAGCCCAGTCTAACTGCTGCCCTGTTTTATCCATTTTAACTCGGGTCATGCGTTAGTTAAAGCCGGTTTACGTGGGGCTGGGCTGCATCTGAGCAGCATCACCAGACCGGAGGCGGCAGGTCAGGTTTATGGTGGGTGTCACGCAGAAAATCACCAGTAGATGTCACTGGCACACCTTGAACATTAAGGAGACCCGCGTTGTCCAGCTGTACGCCTAGCGTTATACTGGTGATGGCTGGACTGGTATTACACGCATTACGACCTGTCAAGGCGAGTCGCATCTTGGGTTCTGTCATGATAGATAGATAGATAGATAGATAGATAGATAGATAGATAGTGGCACAATACATAAATGCAGACAGTAAAAAGTTTTTTGCATTTTAATAGGCAGTAACAATAAACAACACTAAACCGTAACAACGCAAAAAATGCCAAGGGAGCAGCACAGAATTCCGTAGTAACTGCCCGTAAATAAAACACAATGGTTTGTATTATGAGCAATACTACAGCGCCTCCTACTGTCGATGAACTTGAATTACCTTTTCTTTGAGGGGGGTTATATTATTCAGGGAAGCCCAGAGTGGAAACAGTGATGGGGAGAAGTGTGCTAGTGCAGTGTTAGGGGATAGTTTTTATGAGTTTCTTTTTTATTCATCAACTCTGGGAGAATGATCAACCCTCACCTAAATGAAGGCATTTGTTAATTGCAGCGAATTCAATCAAACCGTTATTATCAAATCGAAATTATCGAACAAAGTTTTATTTGTTACATACACGGTTATATTCAGTGCAATAGTGAAACGCATGTTTGCTTAATTTCAAGACGCGGGTGGCAGACTTTTATACAGTACAAGTAAAAACTTGTAGCCTATAAGGTACGCGCATATAAAGTAGCCTATAAAGAAACAAAACATTAAACAATAATCATATTATTATTATTATTATTATTATTATGATAATATTCGTTATCTGTACCTAATGTTCCATTGCTTTGTTATTTTAAATGTTTCCGTCATCTCATCAGTTCCAAGTGACAAACACATTACCTGCGTTACACGTCTGGAAAAAGCCAGACCTTAATCGTAAGTTTGTTACTCGCGCTTTCTTTACCGCACAGGTTAAAATGTATTAAGTTTGCCGTGAACAGACTGGGCTTATTTGCGTCCTCGGGGCCCTTTGACTTGTGTCAAACTGACTAGATCACTTGACAAGCGGCCAGATCCAGAAGGCAACCCAAACCGGTCAGGTTCCTAAAAATACAAAAGCGCCTCATTTTTCAGATACATACTAAATGTCGCCGTGGTAATGACAACATGTTTCGTTTCCTCTCCTCACATGCTATATTGACGCCAGTGGTAGAAAAGCAAACAGATTGCGATAAAGAAGCGGAAGCAAGCAGAGAACAACGGTGTGGTTTACTTAACTTGATCTGTTATTTAGTTCGAACTGTAGTACCTTGGAAATAGTATTTATACGAATATAATGACGCGGTGCCTTTATCTCTGCTGTAATAAGCGTGCCGGGGCTCTGGTATGCCTGGCATCACACCTGGAATGAAGTGTAGGTTGCCGGACCGGTTCCGCTGGATGCGCAAAGATCCCCGGGCTGTGTGTCATGCAGTCCGGGGATCAACAGACTGCGTTAAATCGATACCAGCATCCGCCCCCCAATTTAAAGTGTCAGTAGACTGATAGGCCTAATGCGGGACACCTGTCGCTTTAATTCCTCCATCTTCCCCGAAGTGTAGACGACGCAGATTGGAGCCAGCACCGAGGCCACAAGCCGAGTCTCATTTCTGGAAATCCCGTCCGGGACAGCCGAGGAGCCGGGAGCCGGAGGGACCGGGGATCCAAGCACCGGGACGCTCGTCTGTCCCAAACGGGGATCCGAGCGCCGGGACGTCGGTCCGTCCAAAGCGGGACCTGAAAGCCGGGCGGCTCTGTCGCAAATTTGCGGCAGGTACGAGCTGTTATATCGGCTATTTTTGTTATTTTATTGCGTAGTTTCACCAAACTGGTGCATATGCGGCCGTGGTCGTTTTTATCAGACGTGAACTGCGCATGGTGCGGTGAAATGACTGCACTTCACCCTGGTCTGCATGGCGGGGTCCTGCACGGTCACTGCGGTCACTGAGCAGGATGCCTTCCCGGCTTCACGGGGCTGTCGGCGGCCCCGTCATTCCGGCAGGATCCCCGGTGGTCCCCTTCCCGTCTTTCAGCCCCCAGCCCTTCTCCTTTTCCCACGTCACTGTTAGTAGTTAAGTTTGATTATACTCATGTGACAGGCTGTATACACAGCGTCAAATATTATCATAATTTGTTTTAAATGAGAGATTGAGTCAAGCGTCGATTCGTGCTGTTTTTTCCACGTTTGGCTCTAATCTAAGTTCTTTGGATATCCTGTTACATAAAGGGCAGGATTTATACGTGCGTTAATATTTTGTTCCCGTGTTTACAAAAAGTTTAAAAACCGACATTTTTTTAGCTCTGGCTTTGGGCCGTCGGGTTCCTGGTTCGGCATAAAGCCGCTTTTTCTCATAGCACTATGCATCGGTGTCGTGAAATCATTTAATACGATTTTGTATGCGAAAATAATGCGAGAACCACGTGGATACTTAAGTGCCCCCAGTCTGTACGCGAGATTGTGTGTGTTTTGTTTTGAGGAATCCACTTTTAAGAGTATCTCAGAGAGATCAAATACAAATTAAAGACAGTTGTTTTACTCCCTTTGTACCCATAAAGACCCTGCTTAACATGGTGCTGTGTATCGGTGTGCGGTGTTAATTAAAATATAAAGGGTGACCTTCTGGAGTGTAATGTTAATTTAATCCCTTCTAATCCCTCCTGTTCATTCAGTTACTTCCTAATCACCCTAGTGATGCCAAATGAAACCCCCATTGTTTTCCTGACTGTCCCATGATCAGAATTTGCTCTCTGTATTCAGATTACCAGTCAGGAGCACTGGGAGATCCGTAGCACTTTTCCTTACATACTGCTGACTATGAGCCAGTGGAATTAGATGCTGACAGGGGCCCCTGTTATTTGCTGCATTTAGCTACAGTGGTCATTCAGCTGCCTCAGCACAGCATGGGGGGTGCGCGCTCGCCCCACCCCCAGCACACCAAGCCTCTCCCTTTCTCCATACAAACTCCCCCCCCCCCTTGCCGGAGGTCATGCAGTTAGAGTAAAGTTGCCTGGCTGCCGTTTGCCTGCCACCACGCACTCGCGCTGGGAGAGTTGCAGAGTGTTTGCCGCCCTGCCGCAGTGATCTGTCTGCGCCACATGACGTGATCCGCAGGATCCGGTGAGCTTGGCTCCTGCCATTACTCTCCTTTCTCTGTCTCTCTCCTCTCTGGGGCTTTTTTGCAAACATCAGTATGAGTTTTTCATTTACGCTGATCTCCACACGTGTTTGAGTTGATGGGATGTAGGTACGAGGCTTCACTTCCCAGTCCGGCGGCGGGTTTAGGGTCGCATGTACAGTATGAACGGTTCCCATGTTACCAAACTTGTATCTGCTGCTCCTCTGTCCAGGAAGCACAGTGGGTGTCCCTCAGGATGCGCTGTGACAATGTGGGGGGCGTTATCACTTCCTCTGGCCAGATAATGGCCCCCACCCTGTGCAGGCTGCTGCACTGATTCACAACCCCCCTTTTCCAAACAGACACCCCCCCACCATGGATCCTGACTCCAGAACAGCGGCATCTCCCGCAGAGCTCAGGGAGGAGGTGATGGGAGGAGCTGCGGAGGGGGACGTGACAGAGAAGGTGGAGGAGGAGAAGGAGGAGGCGGCAGAGGGAGAGGTGGAGGCGCAGGCAAAGGCGGAACAGGAGGCTTTAACTGCTCAGCGGCAGTTGCTCACGGTGAAGGAGCTGATTCAGACGGAGAGGAGTTACCTGAGGAGCCTTGAGCTGTGCACCGGAACCATCAGGAGGAACCTGCATTTGATCCAGGTGCTGCTCAACCTCCTGCTGTCAGGAGCGAGTCACATGGCATATTGCAAACATTCAACGTGTATGTCCAACTCGGCAACATATGTGCTAAAAATAAGTATATTTGCCCCCCCGCCTGCCCCACAACCATGCAGCCCCCGTTGGATAACCTGGACAGCATGTTCCTGCACATTGATGGGGTCATCGACATGTCGCGCTGCCTGCTGAGCCTTCTGGAGCAGACTGAGGTGTCGGACCCGGACTTCCTCAGAGTCCTGTGTGAGTAGTAGGGGGTCCCTTAGCCTCATCTGGGGTTATTAGCTCCCTGGTCACATATCGGGGCTTATCCTCAGGTCTTTAGCTCGAGGTCTGGTCCGATGATGTGTTTCTGTCTTCTGTCAGGCATGTGTACCGCAAGGCTTTTTGTTAGAACACGAGGACTATAGAATGGATCCTTTTTCCTGTGTCCATATAAGAGGACCGGGGTCTGTCTGAGCCAGCTTTCCATCATCGTGCCGAGTTATTGCTCAACAAAATAGTGTGGAAATTGTAGAGCAAAGGGGTGAAATCGTAATGCAGATGGAATGGCTAACAGTGGAGGGGCAGATATGAGCGTGCTGGCAGTCCAAGGCGGTCAAAGCAGCGCATTCCCTGACTAATTATGAAAAGCCGGCATGAACATCAGTTAAATAAGTCTGATGTGTTTCCATGTCTTTCAGGTGAGGCTTTTTTGAGCTTGAGGTCCGACATGGAGAAAGCATACAAAGAGTATCTCGCCAACTACAACATCATCACCTCTCTGGAGAACAGCTACAAGCAGAAAGAGGCCTTGTGGCCTGAGATCGTGATGGTGATCAAGTCCTCGGCGTAAGTTTGGTTAAGTCACTGTCACGTGACCAGGGTGGGCCCTGCTGCTGTTCTCTGCTAAAAACCAGACGGCTGTCCATGTGCAGAGTGGACAGAACCACGCAGCTCAGGGAATATTGGCAACAAGAGGGAGTGCAGAATAAGATTATTATGGCCGAACCAAAAAGAAACTGCGACAGTGCAAGGTAACATAATTTAGGGGATTTGCACATCAAAGCTGTGGGAGAAACACACACTCCCATGAAAGCAGGGAAACAGATGGGGGGGCAATTAAGACCAACCCCCCAAGACAGTTAGTAGTACCAGTCCTCCCAAAGGAGTATATAAAAGCAGTTTTAGTGTAAACTGCCACTGGGACAGTTAGTCCCCTGCGAATGCCTAGGAATTATGTACAGAAATCCTTCTCTGAAGATGTGCCTGAAGCTCACTGTGGCCCCCTGCAGGCCGGAGGTCAACGCCTCCTCCTTGACCTTCTTCCTGGTCATGCCGGTTCAGAGGATTGCCCGCTACCCCCTGCTCCTGCAGACCATCCAGAAGCACACGGACCCCACGCACCCGGCCTACCCTGCTTTGGAACACGCCTTCCACATTGCTGTGGAGATGAACTGCAACATAAACGAGTACAAGCGCTTCCGGGAAGTCGGTGAGGGAGTCGCTGTGGCACGGGCATGTTTGCAGACGTCATGCACGGCCGACACCGTGAGCGGGTGGCTGGATTAAACACCCGCATTTTCCTTCACAGCAGACAAATATAAGAAAACTGAGACGCTGACAATAATAGACAAGATGAATCGGCTGACTGGACACAGCATTGCCAAGAAGACGGCCAGGCTGAGCCAGTACATCAAGGTTGAGGCTGGAATTGTCCCCAAGGTAAAGGCTCGGCTGATCCTGGTGCCTGTTTTGGTGTGTAACACACTTCCTCTAACTGGCGATAAGCCATTTTGGCTTATGTACCTTCTCTCCTATACCATATTTGATTTCTGTTGTTCTCCTTTCCTTTCTTCCTGTTCTCCCTCACCCCGTTCTCCTGTCCCTGTATTTTTCTTATGTTCTACTTTTATCCTTCCTGTTCTTCTGTTCCCCTGT